ATGATTATGTTCCATTCAGCATTCGCTAGACATTCGGCATTTCTACGGTACAAGTGAAGTTGTATGGTGGTGACTTCTAAAATCACTATTGTAAATGATGTATTACCACTGTTGTCGCTTGGAAATATCTAATCTAAGTACGATAACTAGAAATAAAGATGTTTTATATTCATGGGCTATTATACACCACTCGAGGGGCCCATGTAACTCAATAGTTGGGGGCTGTGCAACACAAACGTGGTCTCGAGTCCCATCTGCCGCAGGTGGCAAGATTTCTATCCCTCTGGCATCAGATAATTGGCGGCATTCATGTCTGCAGGGTACCACACCTAATTTTTCTGTGAGAGTTAACAAAAAAGCCTTACGAAACACTATTTCGCACTGTTGGTAGATACATCGATCATCGATAATTACATCTATAATTGAAGACGATTATTGCAAAGCGCACAATTCGGAAAGTAATTGACATTTTGCAACTTGTCCATCATCTCTTTTTCTTTATAACAGCAATACGTCGTAATTTGTCAATTGAACCGCAAAGAAGAGAGTCAATAAATCAATAAAATCTTCCTTATAGGGAAAGGTTCGAGTCTTACCTCTAGGGTTTTTGGTGTAAGTAGGACTGAATTGTTTCAAATACCCTAACTTTAACAGCTGAGGTACACTGATTCTAGCTTAAGCTAAACGCAATCGTGTACATGACACAGATGTGAGATTATTCACCTCTTCTACACAGAAGCGGCTTATGCGACAAGTGCACAGGTAATTATGTTATACACACGCTGATGTCATCATCTATACAAATTCAAATTCAAAACTTACACACAGATGACTCGTTTGTATAACTTTGAACAATCAGGTCACAATCTAAGATATTTGACAAGCTTAGGAGAGTTTTTTTGATTATACGCGGCTATATCCACCACCACCATCAACCCTATGAGATTTCTCTCAGAAATAGAAAAAGAATAGGAAAACTTCATGTAATAATTTTAGCAATGACATAGCTACACCAATTTGGGAATGTAAGTATCCCTTCGAGTATGTCTTCGGCAGAACAGTGCTTTCTTACGAGTTATCTACCTGTGTTTCAACGCAGATCAATTATCCCGTTGAGGACCAAGGGCCTGCAGCCTCCACGTCTCAAACTGACAAGGCTGGACGGTGTGTTCGACCTGCTTTACAACTCTAACCCCAGTGTTGAAACGCTGGACCACTCCTTTCTACCACTCGGCACCCGCGCATTGGGTAGTAACTGGTTCGACCTCCTACCACGACGCTTTACTGTAATTTTTTGGTGTTATTTTTTTTATGGTAATTAGTATCAAAGGTTTTTTCATAAAATAATTATCACAACAAAAACCGCTCAGCTGTCTAACATTTCACTACTTTTCGATACAAAACGTAGATCCATGGGATAGGAACGCACATCCAACTTTTTTCACTCAAATGGCGACTAGTAGTTTATAATGCAATTTAGCTTAAAATAAGAAGTTAAATCAATGCGATCTGTTTGTTGAAGTTGTTTGAAGAAGTATGAATTGGACGAAGTACAAGAAATTGTCTTGAGGGCATATTAAACTGAAAAGAAATAAATACATAGACTTATATTCTCATTTTGAACTAAATTACATTAGAAACTACTGCACTGTCATTCAGAGCGAACAAAAAGTCGGATGTGCGTTATCATTCCATGGATTCATGCTTTGTATCAAAAACTAGTGAAATGTTAGATAACTGAGCGTTTTTTATTACAAAGTTACGTTATAAAAGAACCTCCGGTACTAATCGGCATCAAAAAGATAACGCCAAAAGAAGTAAAGATGTGTCGTAGTATGGGATCGAACCAATAAGCTACTTCCCAAAATGAGGTGCCGAGTGGTAGAGTGGTGAGACAGACAGTAATTCCCACTATGTGTGTTAGAGTCGCGGAGAGATGAAGTAGACCGTTCAGAGTTCTCACGTTAGGGGGTGAGAATTGAAGGGAACGGGTTGTGGATCCATGGCCAACAAAGCGTAAGAGTTCTAGCATAATATGAGAGCAGCAAATTTTCAGATTTACTATGTTTGAGGAGTAACTGATAAGGTCGAAGGAAAATCTCTACTTGATGTAATACACCTTAGTTTGCGGTCGCCTAGGAAGCCCCTGGTGCCGGAGTTGCACGAAGAACAATGAAGAGTAACTGACACTAACAACTGACGTATAAAATGCATTGCGATAAAATATGATAGGCTAGTAAGTGTTTGCGATTGCTCGCCTTCATCAAATGATTCCTTATACGTTGCTTGTCTCCGCAATTTAGATCTCAACTTCGCTCATCCTTTATTTATGTCGTGCAGATAGAAAGTACAATAAATAAACATTTGTAGAGTAAATACCACGTAGAACATTCTACAGCTCGGATGAGGAGAGTAGAACCCTAATTACTCAAGACGACAAGAATGATTGCCTTTTTGGTTCTTCTGTTATGCTGCACGGATATTAAAGGCGGAATTTCGCTGAAAAGGGAAATTCACCGCATTTTTATTAATAATCTGAAAACTCAAATCTCGCAAAAAAACACATGCCCTTTGTTTGGAAAGGTTTTTCTTACATTTCGACCCTTCGGAAAAAGCTTATTTTGCTCTTGTTGTTGACGATTAAGAAATCTCATAACTATCATGGGAGTCAACATGTGGTCTGTTGTGTGAGTCAACATGTTATAAGGGCTGACTTGTAGAGTTCTATACCCGTGTTTCAACCTTGACGGTCTCATCAGTCGGGCGGTACCCTTCTCGTCTTTTTTCGATCCTCTCGGGGCACTCAGTCCCTATACTAAGAGTAGGTGACGATAAACATTCTACACTGCATGTCAGGTGAAATTATCACCGAACAAATAGTGTTGTACACTCGATTACTCTTGGCTGGCATCGTTAACATATCATACCTTTCGCTTCTTTCTCGATAGATTGAATCAAAAGAATTTGAGCGGTAAATTCTATCTTCAAGAAGTCCCTGTTATTGCGGCAAAAGAGCAAAAATAATATTTTGTTTCTTATTCAAAGAATTCTCGCTGACCAAAGCCTTTTCTTTGGAATTTTGGTAATCAATCAGTAGACCAAATCTTGAAGATTCCAATGACTTACTTGGTTTTCAAAATGGAACCACGCATTACGCTGTATCAGCCTAAAAATATGGAGTTTCGCAAAACTGGATCGCTTCTAATATCCGCCCCTCACTTCGATACTATTAAAACACGTATTTTTTGATTGTTTTCAACGACCAAATAGCTGTTTGATGGTCCAGATATAAAAATCTTAATGATGTATTTCGTTTACAAAAAGGTTTTTATTGCATTGAAAGAGCAAAAATAAGTTCTTGCTTCTCATTCAAGAATTTCTCGCTGCCCAAGGCCTTCCCTTCGAAAATTCAATAACCAATCGACAGATCAGATCTTAAGAGTGGCAATGATCTATTTGTTGCTGAAAATCGACCTCATATCACGCTGCAACACCCAAAGGGAGATTGGACTTCGGAAAACTGGAAAAAATCATTGAGTGTGAAGCCCAATGATCTTGTGGTTCTTATGAAACACTAGGAGGTCCGTTCAATAAATCAAAAATGTCATTGGAATTCTTAAGATTTGATCTGTCATTTGGCTCTTAAATTATAATAGAGAGGCCCTGGTCAACGAGAAATCTTCAGATGAGGAACAAAATTCTATTCTTGCTCTTTCATAGCAATAAGAAGGGTTTTTTGAATAGAAAATATACCACTCAAATTCTTTTGATCTGTGCTACCGGATGATTTTTTGAACAATGAAAAAGACTAAGAAATACGTTTCTTACAAGAGGTCGAAACGTGGATGAGATAGCGGAAAAGTACCGTTTTGTGTTTTACACACGTATTTCTAGCAAGACAGAGCTCTTATCTTGAATTATGCGTAAACTTTGATAGCGTAGGTCAACGAAACAACGGTACTTGCTTTGCGGAGAGACCGTTTGACTCCAATGTAGCATAGTAAATGAGATGAAGCTTCAAACACGCCGCACATTGCTTGTCAATTAGATTGTGTGAATGCCTGATGGATCGATAGACCACGTAGGGGCGGCTCACATTTGAAGTGCGGCTTCTTCTGCTAAATGGCATTTTCTCCGCTTTGACGAAAAGACTATGTAGAACAAATAACTCTGATACTTGAAAATTTCCTCCACATGTTCATATGTTTTGCTTGCTTTCTCCTAGTGGCGGATTTATTTGACCATATGGAATAAAATCGAAAAACCAAAGTCCTCGAACGATAGAAAAGAGTTCTTTCTACAATTGCAGTAGAATGACCTAAGAAACGAAGAAAAAATTCTTGATCAATTGTTGGATTTACGCATGTTTAAGCTCGATGCATGTTAAATACAATTTTAGTTTGCCGCTACAGCGATGTCAAAGAGGTTTACTAAAAATTAAGTACAGTTTTCATTTTGTTGAGAATTACTCAATCTCGTGATCACCAATTGGTTAGAAGAAAAGCTTTGTCCAGCAAAATATAAGCTCGTGGAGCGTAGGAAATATAATTTTATTTCGAATGCTACAGGACCATAAAGAGGCTTTTCCAAAGAACAAGTACATTTTTAGAATTCCGCGATTTCCGCTTATCAATGGTTCAAAACAGTTCATGATAAAACTTTGCCCAGCGAAACATAAGCGTGATAATAATTAGAGCGTATGAAACTATGTTAATTTGAATGCTACAGCGCCGTGGAAAGGCCTTTTTAGAGGGTGGCATATAGCAGTTCCCCGAGATTTCAACTTTCACATGATTTTCAAAAATGCATTGGAAAGTGTTTAATGAGCGAGATTTCCTTAATTATCCTTTCCAATCAACAAATAAGAACCACCTTATTTTTTCCTTATATGTCACCCAACACTAACTCGACTCAAGAATGTAGAGTGGTGTGCAAAAACATTTACGGCAGCTGTGATTCGAGCAGAGATTTCACCCTCTCTGGAGCGCGTGCTGGAACGGGCGTTGGTAGTGCAACGGTTCAGCACGTTCTCCGGATAAGGTGGATTCTGGGTTCGAATCCCAGCTGCTGCAAGTGTTTTTATACATCACTCTACAATATTGGGTTTATTATAACATCACGCCACTTCAATAGGCAGTCAAATAAAATGAATACTTTCATTAATATTTGAGCCAACTTGTTATGTGGTCTGCTAAGGGCTCTTGTACAACACGATACACGTGTTTCGTCTTTACAGACTCCTCAGTCGGGCAGAACCCGTCGTTTTCGATATTTCTGAAAAACGTACGTCTTTGATAACTCTATGTAAGGGAGCAGAGCTTTCAAGAGAACTGACTTCAAAAATATCGAAAGACGACGGGTTCTGCCCGACTCACGAGCCTGTAAAGACGAAGCACGTGTATCGGGCTGTACAAGAGCTCTTACCAGACCACATGACAAGTTGGCTCAAATAATAATAAAAGGATTTATTACAATTCTGAGCGTGGTCTTAATAAAGCACTCGAAGGAAAGGTATAATATGATAAAAATACCAGCTAGCTAGCAATCGAGTGCGAAAACACTCTTTGTTAGGTGAAAATTTCGCTTGACATAGAGTTTAAAACGTACTTCTCTGATAACTCTATGTAAGGGAGCAGAGCTCCCGAGAGAACTGACTTCAAAAATATCGAAAGACGACGGGTTCTGCCCGACTGACGAGCCTGTAAAGACGAAGCACGTGTATCGGGCTGTACAAGAGCTCTTACCAGACCACATGACATGTTGGCTCAAATAATAATGAAAGGATTTATTGAAATTTGAGCGTGGTCTTCATAAAGCACTCGAAGGAAAGGTATAATATGATAAAAATGAATACTAATTCGACTGTTGCAGAACGGATTATAACCAGATAATATGGGTCGATATCTCTTAAGCATCGTCATTCTGTCTTCTAAAAAATGACTAGCAAGCTTTTTATATAGTTGGTAATTTCAATATGGCCGGAGTCCTGTGTAAAGGAGTAACGTTACTACTTCACTCGGCGGTACACCCTATTCGATTCGCACTGGTGTGACAGTTCCGAAGATCAATATCGCAAAAAGAACAGCTGCTGTATACACTTGATTCAAATTATCTTAGCTTTAATATGGACAGAACCGCCGCTATGTTAGTCATGATAACGATTTATAGAAACTTTTGTTAGTTCCTTAGAAGAAACGATACTGATCGTCTCCACTGAGGCTCAATGAAGGTTAGAATTGGAAGAGACGATTTTTCTGTGAAACAAAACCTTTTCCGTATAAAATTAAGAAAACACGTGACAGCCGTGCATCAACTTCATAACAGGATTTTTATCCTTTCAAAACAATCCTATTTCTGGCAAAGCAATCGATTGATGTGGCGATTTTAACTCAGAGTTGTTATTTACAGCAACTCATATAAATGTCACGCTGATACTGCAATAATGTAACAAGACAATGAAAATTTATTGTCTGCAGTGTTATTACCACGGTCTTTGTGATGACGCTGTCCTCACAATATCAAGCAGCAGTTAGATAGAATGAATAATGGTTATGTGGAAAAATAGGTTTGTCAAGTCTCAACCTCAATAGAGGATTGTTGTATCCCAAGAAAATGACGTTCACGGGAAAGTGTCCTGGATTGCTACAGCTACATACGTTTCTATCAAGAGCTGAGCATAATGGAGGATCCAGCAGGAGTTGTGGCCAGCTGGGTCTGGAAACGTTACAAGAGAATGCAAGCTCGGAAGGCGCGAAACAATCAGCTCCTCATTTTCAGTTTCGACTTCTCAGTTTTTTTGCTTTGATTTCAATCATTGCTCAGTTTATTTCGGGGAGAATTATTATCATTACAAATATATGAATCTTGCACCACACTGTGACGATCCCCAGACTTAGTCCATTCGATTCGTTCCCTCGTATTTATCATTTTTCAAAGATCTTCGTTCTACGAGTATGGTTCCGCCTCTTGCTCGAGGATGTTTTGGCCTTCGATAGGAATTCGTTATGCAGATCAGGTCGATTCTTTCTGGAATCTAGAGATGGTCATCCTATGGCACCGACAAGAGAAATGTGAGTCCTAATGCGCCAAAGGAGACGTTGAAAAAGTGTCTAAGGTGGTTGGCTGTCCTACTTTGTAGAGGATTTCCTCATTACTGCATTACCCACACGTTCTAGCTTGCTGTAATGTACGTTTCAAAAACTCCAGCAGTGCGTAAACATCATGCTGGACTGCTAAGTTCTTAGATAGCGCCCTGTCGACAGATATTGCAAAAAAGCCTTCCAAAATCATTATCAGGGTCGCAAATGATTCCGATAAGATGACTAAGGTTTCTTGACTACTCGAGTGCTGTGTGCGAGTTGGCTAACATCGCTCTTCACATGGTCTCAACGTCGCTCACAACCGCATCCTCGCGCCTTCCTTATTATCAATACTTTTTTGTTTATGTTATTATTTCACGCTGTTTTGATGATGTTACTAATGTAGGTAAAGTTCAAGTACTCAAATTTCAGGATCGATCTACAGCTACAAAAAAAAGTCCCGCATGGTACAAAAGAAGACGAGCCATCTGTGTTCAATTAGCCAATATACCTGCGCCAGTGCACGCTGTACATGTTGATTCAAATGTTTGAGCTTTTCAATGGGTTCAATTTCTTAGATCTTATCTGTCAGGCTCTTTGCTGTCAATCGATGGCTTGTACAACAGATGTATTGGGTAGGACATTGGTCAAAAAAGCTCTACTCTGCACATGAAGTTACAAACGCTGAAAAAATCCTTATCCCATTGATTTTACTGCAATCTTACGGTATTATAATATAATATAATATAATATATATAATATATTATATAATATATATATATATTATATATATTATATTATATTATATTATAATATATATTATATATATATTATTATATATATTATATTATTATATTATATTATATTATATTATATTATATATATTATATATATATTATTATATATATATTATATATATTATATTATATTATATTATAATATATATTATATAATATAATATATTATAATATAATATATATATTCAAGAACGCTGAGTGATATGAAAAATCTGAGGCTCGGATTTTATAAATCAATAGCTGGAAGCTTATCTGAGTAAATCCGTATGGGCTTAAGCAATCCATTCGGTAGCTGGTTGCTGACGTCTATCTTCCATTGCGGAAAGAGTGGCAACAGAACAAAGGCCTCAGTAGAGCAGCGGTTAGTGCGCGCACCACGTAAAGGAAGAGCGCGGGTTCAACTAATATCTCGCCTTTGCGATTTGGCTTATCATTTCAACTTTTTTGGATAAATATTTACAAATCTCAGAAAACCGATTTTTGAACAAGTTCATTGGGCAGAATTTGAGTAGCAATGTAATGTCATTTCATCATGATTGTAAATCACGCCACCACGACTGTTGTAATATTCATGCTGTATTATTAACTGTATTGTTATATGCTTCGCTGATATTCAATAAATAGTATCGATAACACCTCGGAGCGGCTAAATAGAAGAAAATCTCATTCCAGTTTTAGTTGCTGTAGTTATTTTTCAGGATGAGTGAATATATAAGACGCTTAAGACACGGCATTAACTGTAAGATATTTCAAATTCTAACACAATCGTAAATATTTTATGAACTGTTTTTTTCTTCAAATCAAACTTGTTTGATGACGGTATTTCTCTTTTCAAAATTATCAGCTAACCTCTTACATTTCACCTTCCTCAGAGCCAAGACGACGTACTTAACGAAACTATATCCAATTATTTGGCTAACAATTATGTAGTGGTTTACAAAAAGGTTTGTGTCAGTTGGGAATCGAACCCACATTTAACCGTTTACGAAAGCGCGTGCTGAACCGTTGCACTACTTACGCACGTTTTGACTTTGAATTCCTATGATAGATAGACATTTGAGACAGTTGAGTTTTTGTTAGACTGTCGGTGCATATAGTGGCGCTAATCGAATAATTGGATATGCTTCAGTATAGTATGTCGTTTAGGCTCTCGAAAGACGAAATTGCCAAAACGTTCATCATCAAATTGTAGAGGGGAAATACTTACTTTGTGAAAAATTCATTCAGAAAAAGGGACGGTTCGTGAGGTAATTTTCAATTTCTAACACTACTGTGCTCAATGTGCCTCGGTAGAGCAAAATCTTTCCTACAATCCTGTCATGTTCACAGCTTCCCTATTCCTTTAGCTATCGAAAAAAATTTTGCATTGTCGAAAAAGCATACCATATAAACCCCAGATGAGTCAAAAATAGAGTGGCTCAGAGAGTCGGCTGTGCAAAGTAAACGTAGCCGCTGCAGGACTAACACCACACAGAATTTACCGAATAAAAAAGCGACATAAAATATCTAAGCTCTGCATAAGATAAAGCCGTCGAAACATCGGGCGTTCAGTTTGGAGAATGCACAAGAATGATCTTGTGTCAGGTCAACAACTGCTCTTCGTAAAATCTAGGCAAATCATCACAGGAATAAATAGATTCGCGTTTGGCCTCTACAGTTATTGAAGAGAGCCTAAAGTATATCAAGTCATTTTTATAACACTACAAAGATAGTACAGACTACAGAATCGATTATAAATGGACAAGTTGATCAGTACTGGTTGTGGAATCAAAACACAGTCACATAGGTTTTATTTCATTTCCAACTTCTGCGAGACATTCTGCTCAATTTGCCTTAATGAAAACACAAATTCGAGATTTCTGATTCAACTCAATTCATAGACTGATTTCACCAATTTATTTCGAGATAAATAACTTGATGACCTAATAATTTGGAAAACAAACAATTTATGCATTTCCCAAAAGGAAAATCAATGAATAAGTGAAATTATACACGGATAGAATCAAGCACACCTGCAAACTTGAAAATCAAACCGTAGAAGATGCGTTTTCATAAAACGTAAAATAGTAGGCAATAGTATCACAGATATAATTTTAGATACAAAATCGACTGGAAAGAAGAGATTTTTATACGGTTCTCGGTTGAGAAATTAATTGCCATAGGGAGATGAAGCGTGTCACAAACATGGCCTTCCCGTGAATCGCCTCTAATAAATATTTATGGCCTCATCGAGGTTATGCATAGATGATGAGATAAACCATAATATCATCAAGACGTTATCAAAACTTTAGTAAATAAGAGATTTAAAGAAAGTCAACGAACTGGCCGCCAAAATACTTTCGAAAAAAAAACTTAAAATACATTAACAAAATTGATATGCTACGATGTGAGCACAGCTTTATGCTCCAAAGTATTACGTCTCGTTGAAAGCTGTGTAAACGGTGACCCCATCAACTTCATTCTCTCCCAATACGCACAATTGGTGGGTATTGAATTGCAAATGTTTGCTCGGCCCCCATATTCCTGACCTTATAAACTAACTGAGCTGATGTCGCTCTCTCTTGTATCTACATGACTATCATAGTCCCACACCTTCATACCTTACCAGCGATACGTAATTATCAGTTATCTCCTACACAAATTGGTTGACTCATAACTGACTCATTCATATGGGATACCGTTTAACGAGACCCAGTGCATAAGGTTTGTGCAGCAACTTTGCTCTTGTCACACCAGCTTCAACACAAAACGATGCATCTAATATGGTCTGTTTGAGGTTTAATACGCTAATGGTAAGACATTGTTCTTCGTTAGTACTTACAAAGTTTGTTGCTACCATTGTTAACAATGGAGAATAAAAGGGCTTGATATTGACAACACTTTAGTGTACAGGCATTGCTTCCCCTATTGCACCACTTATAGCGTAGAAAAGCAATAATATGCGAAAGAAGTTGATTTTACTAGCTAATTCATGCATTGTTCGCACGATTTCATGCTTCTGTCGTATGATTCCACCTGCACCGTAGCTTTCGAGATACCGTATTTCTGTCGAATCAACATACGCGCCGCCGTCACAGTAGACCATGCGTGCTCCGATGAATCTGTGAAAAAAAAAGCTACGTTCGGGAACAGAACTTGAATAAAAATACATTAATTTGTTTGCAAACATCACCTGCAGTACAGTGAAATTCAGAACCTAAGAAAAAAGCCCACTCAATTCAAAATTAAACACTTATGAAAGTTCCGTTGACGCTATTTTATACAAAACACCCTAACAAACACGAAATTCACAATCTTATATTTAATTTCAATCAAATGAAGAAATAAAAAAGTTCCTCCTACCCCCAAATTCACAGTTTTTAGAAATTAGACGAGATGAATATGTCCCTAAAAATAGCTATTCATGAAATCCAGTTCCGTCGTGAATAGACTCCAAGAACGCTCGCTGACAACTTCTATTTTGAAATTATTACTGCGCTGTTTACGGACCTAAGGGCAATTTCAATCCATTCCATCATTCTTTGATTTATGCTTTACTTTATGATCGTCAATATAATGCAACGAAAATGCGACGATGAAAACGAACGTCACCGTACCCTAGTAAATCGTAAAACACTTTGATTCGTCCACATTTCCCAATCAGTGCCAATAATTAGTGCCTTTCCTATAGAAGCTTCAACGAATATGTTACACCTACTTCTACCCTATCTCCCTCTAACCTTTCAAGGAATGGCTACTGATTTGTAGCTGATAACAGAAAGTTTGCCATAATTACACCCTCTCGCATGCAATAGCATAGAAAGTTATAAAGTGCTAACCAATTGCTAAATGAACAGATAGCGCTGTCTTGTCCATATTTAGAGACCATAAATGGAGGTCGTGAACGCTTTGCACATGTTCAAGCTCCGCCAAGTCGTTTCGTACAGCATTGAAATCCAAGTGACGCGGTGTTGCTGAAGATTAGTGAGTTTGACGATTGCTTTCAAAATGAAGGTCTCAAAAATAATTGAACACATCCGAAAATCCAGCCACTGATGACTTCCGAAAAACATCAACATTAACGGGAGCAACACTCACCTTCCATAAGTACGAAGAAAATATCACGAAGTACGGTAATCGTTGTGAACAGCACAATTATTGAAAATATAAACGTGCATATCGGGTCAGCCAGTTCCCAGCCGGTGAACTAAACGATAATGATGATAAATTATCAAAAAAAAGGTATTAATGCCAATAAATTGATAGTCAAAATAGCATACTTTAATGACAAGCGACGCAATCAATACGCCAATCGACTGAATAAGATCTCCAATCACATGGATAAAAGCTGCTCGAACGTTGACATTTTTGCCTACTTGGGCATGACTACAAAGAAGATATTTTGAACATTGAAATAAAGTAGTTCTTATGATTACTGATGTCGATATAAGTAGGAGAATAAGGTCAATGTAGTTTATGACAGATAATATGGATGTTAAAGGAATAAAGCTTCTGACGTAGATCAATTCTTCAGGAATGTGTCATGCATTCAAGTGCTTTCACCGTAGAGGGCACTTAGAGATACTTAGATGCAAATCTAAGTGACCTCTTTAGGAGCACAGTTGAAACTGCAGTGCGCAGTGCGATTTGCAGGCGGATCGCAATATTCGTTTTTCCACTGGGATTTTTCGCTTATGAAGAAAATGTTCTCTACGATTTTCTGTATACGCTCATATGGTTTTGCTGAATGTGTTACTCTGATGAGTAGAAGAAAAAACTCTTGATCAGCAGGTAATCATTTTCTGAAACTCAATTCGTTGTGATAATTTTTGCAAAGGATATTACGATATAGATCTTTTAGCTTTGATATTGAGCCGAGTGGTTGTGACGCTTGTTGCGACCTAAGCGGGCTATACCCGGTTCTCCAACACTCTCCGACAGTCAGCAACGAAAGTCCTATGGAACGCCACAGTCAGGCTATCCTCGAAATTGCAAAGAGACGAGCTCAACCAGTATTCTACGACGTTCAAGAAGACGACGAATAAAAAAAAAAACACTGTGAAGATGGAGCAATAAAGTGTAAAAGTAAAAAGAAGCTTTGATGTTCCTTAATTTATGCAATATCCAGAAGTTCACCTTGTGAACTAGAAAACAATGAAAATTTGCCAAAAATAATGCTACACACTGCATGCGATGTCAGTTCTTACGTAGTTACGGATAGGAACTTCTTCGCAAACTCGTTTATGCGAAATCTATCTATGTTTTGAAAATTACAACATGTAAACCTCCTAAAGCTGCAAATTGCGGAAATTGTATTTTCGATAGAAATCTACAACTTCGTTAGATAGAGTGCAGTGTCGACAAGGTTAATAATTTTTCCAAAAAAAAAACACACACAGTTTGCTCTTCAGATATTTCATATTTAGAACGCTCGTTAATCAGATACGTTTGTCTTCACCACCGAAACATTCCGACTGCGAAGCTCTACTGAGAGGCGATCGTTCCACCAACAGGGTTACTAATTCATCATACCAGAGCATATTGCTGCTGTGTGCTACCGTCGACACAATCTCGGCAGAGGAGCCAAGTGCATCGCAGAGTGCTACGGACGACTCCAAGGAACCACCTAGTTCGTCATCTCGCACGTCGTAATCAAATTTCTAAGATGCCTCCATCAAGATAAACCATAGCCCAAAAGCAAAGCTAGGTGGCGCTGATGTATTTAGCTAACAATGATGAATGCACATAAAACATATTGCCAAGTCTCTACAATGTCTATTCAATCGCCGATATCTCTGTTACTTTTTACCTCTTGCACTTCCCCCAACAAATTTTCAACTCATATTCACGTCTTCACACTCCTATGGTCCTCAGTGCATGTTGCCATAACTTCCGAGTTCTAGTTAACGCATGAATCACACAATATGCGATCAGATGCATTTTGATGACTACTAGCTAGTTAGCTCACCTTTCACTTACACCACCATGAATGTGTCCATGTCCTCCAGTTCCGAAGTGCAGTACAATACCCATGATCACGT